TGAGCTTTTATATTTTTATGTAGAATGTAATCACTTTTTTCATTATTGTGGTTGCTACATTACTGTTATTAAAGAGTTTATTACCCTGTGGGGGATACTGCTCATTGGAATTACATGCTTGCAGACCAGCAGAGACAGTGTGGCTTCAGCCCTTAATTCATGATACAGCCACAGGACAACAGAACATCAGCACACTGGGACTGGTGTGACATGCTGGGTACCCAGTACAATCCTGCTTGTACCAGGGGAAGTCAGAACCAGATGAAATGGAAACTGGAAAGTCATTGCTATATGGTCATCTGGTTTGCAGGCCTTTACTACATGCTGGGTGTCTAGCAGACTTCTAGGGAAACTGGCCAAAATAGAGCATGTAAGGAGCAGGCAAATTGGCCAAAAAAAGGCCAGATATTACAAGAAATGGAAAATTACCTAACAGGTCACTTATCCCTATTCAAACTTTGGAAAACCTTAGAACTTCTTCCTGGACTGTTACATAGCTATCATTTATTACCAAGGTGACCTTTATCCCCCTCTTGGCAGCATTATGCTTTAATGGGAATTATTTTGGAAGAGAGTAGTCAATTTATTAGAAGACCCACTCAAGCCCCACTTTAGAAGGATTCCCACTGATTTGTATCTCAGCAACCACCACAGTGAACATGACAGAGAAAAAGGGTGCCAGCTCCTGGAACATACTGGCTCCTCACACATTTAATACCTCTTCTTCTACCTCAGCTCCAGCCTGCACTCATGAGGACTGTAATTGAGGAGGGCTGCTCATTCCTCCAGGTTTGAGTCTCTGTGCATCCCATAGTTTCCCAGACTAATAATACAGTTAAATGTATACATCCAAGAAAGCAAACATTATTACTGAAGTCTCCTCCTCGGGACTCCTGTGATGTTTAAGTGTGGGTGGTGCTATTCCTTGGAGTTTCACTTGTTTTCAAGGGGGAAGATCTCTATATGATATGTGAACACTGGAATGCAAAACATCTAAAGACAAGTCTAATAAGTGTGTCCATATCATTACCTGTTGCTACACTGAGACGAGGAAGGAATCTCTTTGAGGAAGTGGAAAGCAATGTATTATCAAAGCATCTTAAGAAAGGCAAGTGATCCATACTGCCCAAAAAGGTTACAGAAGGTGACAGAATAAACAGGTCTCTATCTTTTATCTCAACAATAGAAACATCACCTTGCTCCATTTTCTATGACAAACTGTCAAATAAATACCTGTGCTGAGTATAGGAGGAAATGACTCCTCAGTTCCACATACAGTGGCTCCTCTGTTTCCATGGCATGGCAGAAACAAAGGGTCTGAGCATACAAAATCCATACATATTAGTATAACACAGGAAAATCCCAGAACTTTTATACTAGTGAGGGTATTGTCCACAATATCTGCTGTTATCATCTATCAAATCTGTCTTCCAAAAAGTTGAGACTAGATTGCATTAGAGAAATGATACCCAGGCTGGGATCACCAACACTAGCATGAAGTATTTGCTGCCTATGACATAGGAACAGGAATTAAATTGCCATTTTCCCTTTCAATTAAACACACCCAAGACCTGAAGACCTGCCACAGTTGTCAGTGTAGGGATGAGGAGACTCAAGCAGTGTAAAGGCACAGATACATCACTATGGTATCCCACTGAACACCAGGCTGAGAGTCCTGGTAGTCTTGCCTTGAGAGGTGTCCACTCTCCTCCTCCGGCAATTACTGAGCAGACAAGTTATTACCTTGAATAATATCTCCTTGAATAATAACTCCTTCACTGGTTATTCCTCCACACTCCTGCAGATACTCTGGATGCTACAGAATGCTGTGGCAGACATCACCATTGGGGCAAAGGCTTTTGCAGGAGAAAGAGCCCTCAGAATGGGCACACAGGCATGAACCAAGGCATCTTCCAATAACCTGGAGTCCCACTTGCAGTAATACAAAATCAGCTGCCTCTGTGCTTTAACCACACACGTTGTTTTGCCTCCAAGCAGGGACATAAGCAAGTAGATTCCTAATTCTCCTGACTTAAGGAGATTTACGCTCACCCTTAGCACACAGGCACAAAAATGAACTCTGACTTTACACAGCCCCACAAGTGGGAGGCATTCCCCTGTCCTTGTACACCCATTCACACACCACACATCATGCAGCTCATAAACCATGTCACACACGAAGAGATCCAAATAACACAGAATCTACAAAGCAGTAACATCTGTAGCTAGACTATTTAGCTTAAGTCACAAGGATTAACAGTCCCCATGGTTCTAGGAATACACTAATCATGTGCAGTGATCACAGAAGAATTGTGGTCATCTTGCACTGCCTGGCTGACCAAGTGATTTTAATTTTCTTTTGGGATAGATACTGGATCTTACAGACCATTTGTCTGTTGCCTTACAAAATGAAAGAATTCTACAGCCTCTGTATTATCTCTGTACCCTCATTATGTCCTTTTTTTCATGAGTAAGAGGCAGGAAAGTAATGTTTAATGTGAAAAATTTAGCATTAAAAAGAAAAAGCAAAAAGCAATTTCAAGACCAAGGAAAAGCTCTGGGACAGGGCTTTGGTCTTCATTTTAATGACTGTTCCACAACCTTGTTTAACAAAATCCTACGTGTAGGAGATAACCTAACAAATTCAAGCACATCTTCAAATGCAGTGTTGGAAATAGATCACAAAATGTTTTCAAGTAGCTTTTAATAAAAAAAAGAAAGAAAGTCCAAAATCCTGAATAAACAGGTTGCAGTTTTTCTTTTTTTCTTCATATTCTAAAAGTTTATTAGAAATCTGATAATTAAACAGCACTTTTTAAACCCCTTGCTATCATCCTGTATTTCCAACACATGCATATATATGTTCTGGAATGTAATAGATAGATTATTTTATTGCCATTTTTTAAGGAACAAGAAGAAATTATAAGATTCTTTTCACTCTACAGGGTTCCATAGATCACCCAAGAGAGTGCCACAGAAGAACAGCATTTCAATAATCTCTACTTTGAGTAATAGTTTGAACATAAAAGATTACTGTGCTGAAGGCAGCCAGTGGACATATTTCATACTATCACAGTAGCTTTCTTTCTTATCACTTTATTTTGTGATATCATCTCCCTTGGAAAAATAAGACTGTATGATATTTCTGTCTCCTGGAGTTGAGAGGAGCGTAACGATTCTATCAGGTTTAATACATGATAGTACTCCTACATCAGTTTTCAGTGGAAATGTAGAAAATCTAAGGGAAGGATATCAAGGAAACAAGCCTACATACAATGTTTGTTCTGTGTATGTTTGACTTTCTCCTTTTCTGCAGGCTCTTCACCCCTGCCAGAGAGCTCTGGCCTAACCCTTTCTATGGGAAGAATAATTGTAAATCTGCATGAAGTTCATGATGATTAGTTTCTCTTGGAGTTGGGCCAAAGAATAAGCCTTTCTCCAGTACAGACTTCACATGCAGGCTCTGTCAAGAATTCATTTATTAATCCTTTCGATCAAGCCTGGATTAAGCCATCCAGGGGCCCTAATGACATCAAGTAACTCTGTGCTTTGAGATCCACCTTGCAGTCAAAAACCTCCATAACAGCAAGCAAGTAGAGGTTACTCCTGAACACAGCCCATGCTGCACCTTTACTGATTTCCTGGAGTCCTCCTGGACATCTGTGTCAGATCATCTGTGTACAGGCATCATTTGTCCCCTTGCAAGCACAAACAGGTTCAAATGTTTCATTTGAGGCCAGGACACACCACACAGTTGTGCCAAAGGCCAAGGGGTGCAGGAATATTTGAAGGGTACAAAGTGTTGGAAAGGACAGTGTAACCAGAGAGGAGAAGATCAGCTGTAAGAAATCCAGTAGTCAACCTAAGACTCTCTTTACTCCTACCCTTTTATTCTGAAAGTACAGCCATGAAAAGATTTCAGCAACCACTCTGTGTAAAAATCTACAGACATACTTACCCATACATAGCATTATTTTTGTATCAAAGGCAATAGTACTTTGATTCAGCTACTGCTTCCTATAAGCTGTATTAAAACTCTGTCACTCCATTTCCTAAGAGTTCAGCTGAAAATTGGTTTCTTTGGCTTTTAGCCCCTATGAGTTTCATAGTTTAAATTCTTTGTCTTTCTCTTTAAAATTCAGATTTGAAGGTTGATATTCTACTTCAGAAGCAAGATTAAGCTAAAAAACTAATTTCCACCTTCTTTTATCTATTTGGCTATTTCATTTCAAGAGAATTAGCACAATTTTCCTGTTGCAAAACTCCCACCTGGTCTAACTTGCCTGCAAGGTTAGTGTCTCCTCTCAAATGCAGCTGAGTTCAAAGCCATCCCTCTCCCCCTTCCTACCACATCCCCCTCTCCAATCCAAGCAAGATTTGTTGCAAACATTTCACAGAGCTCTAACGTCGTGTGAACTTTTGCAGAATTATTGTTGTTCCAGGAGTGTCCTGGGGGATTTTCAGAGCTGCTGTGAGACAGTGATATCCCTTGTGGAGGACTAATAGACTGTCACTGTTTCCACTGGGAACAATGAAGGTCAGACGTGCCAGCTAACCTGTGTTAACACGGAACTTCCTCGCTCTGCTCAGGAACAGCTCTGCAAATAACACCATGCTGAGATCCCCCTCCTTGCCACTTCACTGAGATCACACCGAATCAGCCCTAATAATGCAGTCTTTTTGCTGCAGCCCAGTCCCTGGTGAATCAACCCAATAACCCCACAGGGTTTGCTGCTCTGCTCGCCCTGTCAGAAAGTGTCAAAGGACAGAAAGGGAAGGTTGCCTGCTCAAAGTGTCTGTCCCAGCAGCTCAGCCCTGAGCCCTTCTCTCATCCTGCAGCATTCCCCTACCACTCACTACTTGAGCACTTGCTTTTATAACCTTAGCAACCCATGTTCATTCATTTTAACCCCTTGTTTGCCAAATCCTCTAAAAAACGGGATCTATTTTTTTTTTCACAACCCACCCCCTCTTTTTGTTTTTTTGGGTTTGTTTTTTACCTTTCAAGTCACTTGGAGTTCTTCCAGAGGAAACAGACTGGGGATGTTCACAACATGGCAAAGGCTGGTGGATGAATTTTGCACTCTCTCTATTTTGAAACTGGGATACTGCTGGGTCCTGCAGAACAGCAGCAGATTCAGGGGACACTCACCCAGGAGTCACTGCTATCCTTCTTCAACTAATACTCTCTAAAAGATAAAAGTTTGGTTGATAACATGCATACTTGTAGATGATATCCAATGTTTTATTTTAACACATTTGTAAGCATCCCTCACTTCCCAATGCATTAATGGCCCAGTATTTTACAATATTCTGAAAAACTACAGGAGCAAGTGTAAAGCAGGGTGGGAGAAAAGGGGGATCGAGAAGTTTTAACAGAAAAAACTGCAATTCATAAATATTATGACTACAAGGGAAAATGAACCACAGCTTGATCACACAACAAGAATAGCAATTAGGAACAATTGTTGAATTTAGTTTAGGTATGCAGCATACGTAGGTAAATACACTGAATGCTAATGGTTTTATAATAGTCTTATTAATTCACACACATAGTTAATGTTTAAGATAAACTCCCCATCTTTAGAGTAATTTATGCATTCCACTTTTATAGAATTCCAATTGAATGAATATGAACATAATCATTTTGCACAAATGTTCTCTAAGGAGTGTGCAGAGAGTCTGAGGCAATGCTGAGGCTCCCCACAGCTTTATTCATAATGGATCAGTCTATTCATTCCTTATTAATTTAATGGAGTACAACTGAGCAGTCTAGCAGCTTGAGCTTATGAGTGTTTCACAAATGGGGCTTTTTGCCTGTAATCGCTTAATCCTACTGGCTAGGCCTCATAAATTGAATAAAGGAGCGAACTAGGTTTTAATTAAGTCTAAGGAATGAGCTTGTCTGAAAGATACTTCAGCCTCTTAAGATCACAGTGGTGAAGTGTGTTTGTCCAGGAGCCTAGCAGGGGCAAGCATCCCGGGCTAGTCAGGTTAGAGACCAGTTTCTTTGATGTAAGGTATTTGTTAATACGTTTTCCCCTTTAATTAAAAATCTGTTCTCCACTGTCAGTACCGTCTGAGACCACAAGTGAGACAACTGCAACAACAGTTGCAGGGTAGGACAAGTGAACTAAACATTTTTCCCAGTTCTGTAAACCTTTCCTAAGGAAAACAGAAAGATTGCATCTCTTGCAAAATGTATCCGCAGCCACTTTCTTTTAAAATTCAGCAGCTGAAGAAACAGTTCTGTTCTAGATTTGCAAACCTGTCTCTCACTCAGGCTGGGAAAGAGGGGCATTCAAATTCCTCCCTCCCCACAGTGGTCTCCAGAGAACAAAAATTATCACCTTCTATATTGTTTTGCCAAACTACCTGTTGAGGATATGTCCTGGGCAGCAAAGATTTCAAGATCTGTGGTGATGTAAAATGCTTTCTCATGAATGCATTCCATTTTCTACTCTGGTGGGCTATCTGGAGTATATGCATAGAGAAAGCAGAGATGTTTGGCACTGAACTCGGTGCCCTCCTCCCTCCTGGGACCAAGGCTGGAATGTAAACTATATTGTGCAGTATCATAAAAACTGTTGGCTTGGTGAATCATCTGAGATGCAGGACTTTCTTTTTGTATGTGTAGATAAGGAACAACATTCTGAAGAATCCTAAAGCAGGGGTTCTGTTTGTTTGATTGTTTGTTTTTCAGTATATTGAAGGGAGAAGATGCACTGTTTCTGCTCTGATTTTACAGATACCTAAAAGTGCTCAATTGCCTGGCTCTGGTTTTCATACACTGGTGCAACCATACAGTGGAGTCCCAACAAAAATCAGACTGCTTTTGCTGTCTATACAAACGCACAACCAGAGAGAGGTCCTGACCCCAGACAATCTAAAGCAACCCACCTAAGGGTATCTAATCTCTTTTAAAGAGATTTGGCATTCATTCGTAATTTTCCTTCCATCTTTGAAAATCAGAATGTGAAAATGTAAGGCTGGTGAAAGGAAGGCTAATTTGCCTGGCTTCCTTCTTGTGGGTTTTACTGAATTATCCCGCTGCCCTTTAGTCATGTTTTGGTATTAACTTAGCTGTAGGCTTAAGTTATGCCAAAGGTAGGAAGGATATGAATTTTAATTAGGCACCCATCTCTCACTGAATTCTCCTAGGCTCCTTTGAAAATCCAGACCCTAGAGCTGTCATGTATGTGTGCGTGCTTGTTTCTGGGCATGTTGTATATATTTGTGCACACACAAATCTACATAAATAAATAAAGTGACATGATGGGATTTTCAAAGGCATTTTCAATCTCGAGAAGCACCCCTGTTGTTCTCAACAAGAGGCGGTGCAGGCTGAGCTCTTGTTAAAAAACCAGCCCAGAGCTCTGACCCCAGGGGAACACTGAACTTTATACAGCCCAGGTCTGAGATGAACATACATGATTCCTGATCACAATTAAGTTTTAATTGCTTTAATAGATTCTGGTCTGGAGATGGGCAAAACAACGCATCTTTCTAAATGGTTGGCTTTTTTTGGTTCAAACCCACTTCTAAGTGAGAAGTGCCAGCCTGAGTCTGGAGGGCTCTGATGAAAGGCTCACAGGCTGTGACAGGCTGGAGCAGTGGAGGCACTCAGAAAGCCTGCTGTAGGTCTTCTGTTACGTTAAAATGGAGTGAAAAAGAAATAAAGTTAAACAAATGCCAGAAGTGCCCGTTAAAATGGAAATGCAAGACGTATTTATCTAAAGGGATATTATGATTGCTTAATTATAGGACTTTTTAAAAAAAAAAAAATAAAATGCCTGGCTTTTTCCTCTAAACAGCTTGTTTTCTGTGTGCAGCTAGAAAGGCAGGCAAGGTTCATCTTGGGATGATGGAAGTATTGTGGTCAGCATTTTCAAAGCTGGTACCAATTCAGGATCTAAGAGTATTTTCAGATTTGATTAAATTTTCTAAACTACTAAAAACCCCTATTTTTAATTATTCACACAAGTAACAAACAAGAGAACTCTAGTAAATGAATATGAAGGCTCTTAGATGTCCTTCTGAGAGCATTTCTCATGGCAGTCAGCCTCACTGGAGTCAGTCTCCCTGTGGTTATGAAGGGCAGACTTACTCTGAAAAGAAAACAGAAACACAGAGTTGCACAACCACAAAATCTGACAAAGGCAGAGGCTGAAATGATATCCTACTCCCTTAAAAAAATGCTGGACTCCACGAGCAAGAATTCAGCAAGTGGCAAAGAACTGGTTGGTGCAAAGAAGCATCCATGGATTAACTGCACCCAAGAAGCTGAACAGCCCCTGGAGCCCGACAGGGCTGTTAATGAGTGACTCATTAACAGGCTAAAATGGACACTGGAACTTGTCTTTTGACTAACAAATCCCTCACTCCCAAGCAAGCTCCCTCTGTAGCCAACACCACCCTCAGCTCCATCCCTTGCCTACAACCAGCATCCTTCCTTTGCTTCCCACATTAAGAGTCTTAGGTCACCACCAGGGTAGTTCAGCAACTGCGGAGGATCAGCATACAGAGAAAATGTCATACAGAGCTGCTGGAACATCCCAGAGTGTGGGAACTTTGTTTTGGAAGATGTCACACATATGCAAGTCAAAAGGATCCTTTTCTAGCCTTATTTTCAGCGTGAGCAGTTATGGAGCAATACTTTGGAAGTACTTTTTAAATAAGCAGAAAAATTCAGGTATTGTCAACTGTCTCTTGAATAAATGCATACAGCCCTCTAAAACAAAAGCTGCTTAATCAAAGTGCTAGTAATCTACTTTTTAAAATGGATAATTTTCTCATGTTTTAGACCATTGGAACTCAAAGGGAATAACATATAACAGCATGCAACATTTTCCAAACTACTGCAATTTTTCAGATGTCGCTAAAACGAATCTATTGACTGATTTATACTAATGATTTAAAAAAGATGCTCCAGGGCAAATCACACACACTCAGTCAATTTACAACAGAGGTCATTCTGTAAGTGACAAAGTGTGCACCTCCTTTTGAATAGCTGTCAGACTGAAAAGAAAATAAATACTGAACTCAGAAAACATACATAGAAAATGTGGTTAAGCTAACACAGAATCCTCATGATGTTAATTGCTAACATTAATGCATATCTCCTCTCTTTTTCATCATCCTGCAAAGGAAAAAGGTACAACAGGTATAAATATTAAATCTGCATAAGGAATAGTCCTAAAGTGCTAATTTGTATATTTCCTTGAAAAATATTCCTACAGTTTCTGTGAACACTTAGGACTGATGAAAAGACAGGTACTAAGGCAGACAACTTCCCAGGAGCACCACACATGGGAGGGAAGCATGCAGTGCCATCCCCTCCCATTTTGTTATTCATGGGAGACATTCTGTAACATACACAAGCAATCCAGATCCACAACAAATCTCTGCTACTCTCTGACGTGATGTGCAGCAAGCTGGGACCACTCATTTGGAAAGGAGATGGAACAATTAACAGCCCACAGTGACAGGGTCAGGACAGAGTCCAGATGTTCATAAATGAATCGGAATAAAATTTACTTTTCCAGGGGAAAAAAAACAAACAGGTAACCCTTCTTACCTCTGTCACATGCCTGTTGAAATCATCAGGACAACAATATGGCCCAGGGGGTTTGGGGAAGAGGCTGCAGCCCAATGCAGCCACCAGGTTGGCTGTCAGGAATGGCTGGGCAATCTGTGTGCAGACTCCCACACTGGTCACCAAGTTCCTGGATTTCCTGTGTGCAATCACACGTCAGAAAATGGCACAGCCAGGTGGGACAGAAGGGTTGACAGGTCAGTAGTCTTTTTCACATTCCTACAATATGATAGACTATATATACAATCAAAATACAATTTGCATCAGCATCAAGGGTGAAAAATAGGATGCCAGCACTGTCTACCACAACAGCTGTTCGGCATCTGAATGAAATACTGCATCCAGTATTCACCCATCTCATAACATCCTTTTTGTAAGTCTCAGAGGTCACCTAAACACATTTATTGACTTCATTATTTTTATATAGGGAGAAAAAATTGATGGTGCTACAGAGCTGAGCAAATAACTCACAATAAAATCTTTATTCAATATATTTCATCTTTTTTTACTGTTCCTGCAACACAGTGAAATTCTTACATTTAACCATTATCTAAAAACACTATCTGAGAATTTCTGCAGTAAATTTTTTTATGC